CAGAAGAACAGCTATCAGCTGCACCTGATGCTTATCTAGAGTTATGTGAGCAAATATCAAGGGCCTGAGAACAACCAAAACATCATGGAAGAGCAGCTTCTGGGGCTGTAGAGACCTGTGCCCTAACCACCCAGAAAAGACCTTCTTTGGGAAAAGGGCCATGTGAGCACTCTCTGTTCTTGCAGACTAGAGCTATGGTGGAGCTTAGATCAGGAGTAGAGAGAACACTTATTTTGCTTCAGTGAGTTCCTAAATTCCTAGAAACTCTCCATGGAGGGTCTCTATAGCTATGAGGGACTCTGAACTGTAACTTGGCCCTCAGACTCTTGGATGAAGAGGAGCAAAAGCTTAGAAAGTGAAGTTGCAGATTAATGTTAGTGACGGTTTTCAGAGCTATGAACTCTCCAGAAAATAGCTTCAGAATTATGATTCATCTATCCAATATAGACAGTGTATTTGATGCTAAAATCTTTTACAAATTCATTTTAATAGCTTTCATTTATAATTAAAATCTTGATGGAATTCATATCTTGGCGAAAGTAGGTTTTTAAAAGCTAAGACTCTAGAATTTTTCTCTTTGAATATAATTTAACCTTAAGTATAAGAAAAAAAAATCCCAGCCTCAAAAAAAATACCTCTTTGCTAACTGCTACTTTCTATATTCATGTACTTGAGATGATTCCAATGCAGTAAGTATACCTGTAGTCTGCTTAGTGTGGCAGGAGATCATTAAAGACAATTTAGAAATAGGAGGGTGTTGATAAGATGATTTGTCACTCCTGTATTGTAAAATCTGCGCAATTACTTTGAATATTTGCTGTACATGTGTAATGATCAGCAAATCCTATGGAGTCCATTATTGTCTCCAACTTTACTTATATTTTCCTTAATCTCGTGAAGAAGATCATCAACATGATTCTTAGCAAGTGTGACAATTTTGAGGTAGTTACAACGAAAATGGTAAATTTCCTAAATTGAAAGTGCTTCCTTGTGATACAAGGACAATGGTTAAGAAATAAAACTTTAAGACAGACTCATGAAAGCAGCTTAGAATATGAGTAATTACATTTGAACTAAAATCTTCACTGATCAAAAAGACAAGCAAGGGTTCCTAAGTATCTTCCCGTGTAGTATACATTCTAGTTAGAAAGATAAGTCATGCATACTTGGATAAGAAGGCAAGAGAATTACATTTGTTGACCACCTGCTATGTTCTAGGCTATAGTAGTACAAGTACATAATTTAATCTTGCAGAGGTCTTATGAGGTGGTTGTCAAAAATCTGAATTTACAAGGGATACACCTGAGATCAAATAGGTCACAGAGCAAGTGAATTGCAACTCTGGGATCTGAAACTGAGTCCACCTAACTTCAAAACTGGCTCTCTGAGAAAATCCTATATGCGTGAGTATGTGATGATGTAGAATGTACTATCATCACATCATGTATCCAGCATCACCAAAGAACATGATGTTCTATACAACATGAGGTATTCAATATAATTGAATCCTACTGCCAATGCCAATTTCTTTGGCATTTGAATCTGATTTCAAGTGGGAAATCAGAAGTTATGTTCATGAAAATTGTCTATTAATATTATGAATGAGAATCTAAAAGACTGACAAAACATAGACTGAGTAAATTTTATTTACTGTTATTTCTATCTTAGTCCTGGATAGCTGGAGTTGTCAGATAGGTTTCAAACTACTATAAAATTTCTGAGGAAATAAAAAAAAAGAGGAAATAGTTTTCTATGAGTGGAACTAGTTGATGATTCACAGAGCCTGCTCAAACTTTGATCTGGTTCCTATTTTTAGGCGTGAAGATGAAAGTGTTCCAAATCTCTTACTGGTCCAATAAATATTTTGTTTACAAAATACCTGAAATTGCAAACGTGCAGGTGGTGGGGAGGGCAAACAAGAACATTGAAACAAAATAGGAAAGAGCATGGAAAATGTAATGCTCATCTTTGATACATCACTGCTTCTGATTTTATTCTCCCAATCATCTTCTGAGGTTTTTAGCCACAAATGTCACAAAACTCATAAAGTTGTGCAGCTCTGTTAAAGCCAGGCTTGGTTCAGTTGCCTTCCAAAGCAAAATCTAGACACTGACAACACACACTAAGTAAAGTAGTATTTCCTCTCACTTATTCCAAATATACCTCCTGTTAATTTCATTGCAAATCTCTTCCCCATTGTCAAGAAAATAGAGAACATCCAGATTTCATAAAAGTAATTAAATCAAGTCTAGATTTTTCTCTTTTCTTTTCCAGGGTACCATGGAGTTTTATAATCTCTTTTAGTAATTACTCTTCTCTGGTACTAATTGACTGTTGGGCTTCTTACTACCTGTAAAACAAGTGGCACACCACTATTCCAGGGAGGACAGGAAATTAACCACAAAGACTATGAAACTAGCTGACATCATGAAGTTCTTAAAGGAAGGGTAATGTGTGTTTATCTTGATATGTCCACAGTGTCAAACATCACATCTCTCTCATGGTAGGGCAAGGTGGGGAGCTGAAATATAGTACATATCTACATGTGTCAAACTCTACCTATATGCCATTAGACACATCTCTACAATTTTCCTATATTAATACCTTAATTTCTATTAATGGGGAAACTGAATGAGTTGCCTAAGATCAAACACTTGGTAAACAGCAGAACTGAGATTTGAATTCATGTCTATCAGGAGCTCCTGGGTGGGCTCAATCAGTTGAGCCACTGACTTTGCTCAGGTCATGATCTCATAGTCCATGAGTTTGAGCCCTGTGTTGGGCTCTGTGCTGATGGTTCAGAGCCTGGAGCCTGCTTCGGATTCTGTACCCTTCTCTCTCTGCCCCTTCCCTGTTCATGCTCTCTCTGTCTCTCTCTCTCTCAAAAATAAAATTTAAAAAAATCTTAAAAAAATTGAATTCACATTTGTTTGATTTTTTTGTTTCACCATGTGATTCCCTGACTACACTTGGTAACCCAGTACATAGTCATGGAATGTATTTTCATGGGGTTGTCACCTCTCTAGTTCTATCTAGCCTCAAGAGGGAAAAGCCTGCAGCCCAGTAAAGTTGTAATTCACAAATGACCTAAAGGACAACTGGAATGCCACATGGTACAATCACTCAGTGTATAATTAATATGTAATTAAAAGGCAAAAATTAAGGCACATACAGAACCAGTCTTTGTTAATAGTAATGAATCCTTGAGGACTAAGTCTCTACTTTCATTTTCATTATCACTGTAGAAAAATAATAAATAAAGGCAGGGTGTAGGATGGTGGTATGAACAGTAGAAAGAGGAGACTTAGGGGTAATAATCTGTGGATTTGTTTACTACTAAAGTACCCTTAAAAGGCAGCTTTGCCTGAGTGGCATTTTTAATTAACACTTACCCTTATTATAGCATTAATCTTTCATTATAATCATGTTTATTTTTTATAATTCTAATACTATCTGTTTGAAGAATTTAGAGCATTAATGTTCAATGTCACCTAAATCTTCCAATACAGAAGCACTATGTCTCTGCCTGAACATTCTCAGTATCAGGGAATTTCCTATTGGTAAAAAAAAAAAAAAAATTCTTAACTTCATATCAATTAAAAATCTGTATTCCTATACTTTCTTCAAATTATTTTGTAAGCATGTCTGAAAGAACTATGTGGCAACATATATTCCTAGGCTAGTTCTTTGGATACTAGAAAAATCCTCAATGTTTATCAGCCTTTCTGTGTGAGAGACCTGGCTATACATGCTATCCCAGAGCTAATGTCATATTTGTGTCATTAGACATATGCACATAATTTTGTTATGTTTTTCATAATTTTTCAGTTTTTAAAATCTAAAACAAATATGCATTTCAGAAAAAAAATTGTCCAAACTTTTAAAACAATTATCACTTAATTAACATGGGGTCCAACCATATTGGAATAATTTCTTACCTGTCCCAGCATAGAAGAAATGAGTAAGGTGTTCATCTAGGCTTGAATATTCCCTTCAGTGGCTGCAACCCCAAATTTCAATGTTGCTATTTATCCACCCAGGCCCAGTGCATCATAAGAGAGCCATTTTCCAACTTTCTTGTGCTTAAGAGTCACTAGGGATACTATTTAAAAGGCCCTGGTGACCAAAGGGCTACAAAATCCCATAGCTGTTTATCCTATGCTATATCTGGACTTCTCTCTTACAGATCTTAATCCTATTATCTCTACAAAACCATCAACTATCACTACTAACTTAAACATGAGTTCTTCTAGAACTTAGCAATCACTTAACTCCAAATTTTATAGACCTGTATAATAATCTACAGTTATACCACTACTTAACGGCTGGATAGAAATGAAGCCAGTTCTTTTGACTCTATCCAGAATAGTAGATTCTTTAGCATGAATTTGACTGTTATTTTTAGGTTTAGCTGTCTCGTATTTGACATCATCCATCAGTATGAAGGAAAAAGTCTTCAAAGAAAGTTTCAAATGGAATTCCACTCTGAGCTTTAGTTATAAAGAAGAAAATAATACTTCGCAAGGGAAATATGTTAAACAGCGATTGCAAAACTGTGAAACATTCTGCTAGGTATTCTGGGATACATGAAGATAAGTAACACCTAGCTCTTGCCATACTGGAGCTTGTAACTTGGGGGTAAGTTGTTAATCACTTTGGCCAGAATGAATGGGACATTTCACTGAATGGGAAATCGTAGTGTATTAAGTCATCATACTCTATAACACTTTGAAGTGCTGCATACTTAGCTCTACACAAAGTTGAAACTCCATTAACGTTAACTGCCATAGCACCTGGGGAAAAAAATCTCTCAAGTTGCTAAATCATCACACTTACAACTCATATTTAGAGGTCATGGCTGTTTGATGTGAGTGTAAGGAAATAATCTGTAGATGCTATCATTATAATAAAACATGGAATTATCTAAAGATTCCTACATTTTCTAGCTAATTCTTGAGCACATTTATTAATTACAATGTAGAAGATAAAGGTTTCCTTACTTGTGGTCTCACCATTCATTTCCTCAAGTTCACTGTTAATTCCAACATCTATGGAATTCATTATTTTGTCAATCTGTGAGAAACAAAAGCCATATAAATAAATTATCAATTCACTTTTAGCATCACATTTTAAAACAATTTCCAAACTCCAGAAGCATACATTCTTGATATTATTACCTTTGCAATACCACAATTAAGAGTCTGGCTGAGAAAGGTTTAAAAGGAAGCAGACAATTTTTGAATTGCTTTTAAAAATATAAATTATGCTTCCCTTCCTTAAACTTTCAAAATCAGACTGCCTTTTCTTTATATTTCCTAAAATGAACTTTGGACTTTCGTGGGTCCATAAGTTAGGAACTGTGTATTCTTTAAACTCAGAAAGTGATGGGGCTAAGGGATAAGTTCATGTGAAGATGTTCATTCTGCCAGGCATTCTTCCTCTTCCATCTGAGAGCATGCATGTCTTTTGACTGGTGAAAGGGTGGGTTTCATCTGTGGGTATGGCCATTGGAACCAAATGGCTTGACCAGCCACAAGCTTAATTTGTGGCATGGCATGCAATCACAAGAATCCAATTGTAGAAACACCTTAATTCTAAGAGATAAGTTCAATGTTAATTAATTCTGCTTCATTGCAGAAATGATTTCAGATGTTATTCACGGAATTAATAAATATAAGAAATGGGGAGACTTGAATAAACTATCAGTCAAGTAGGAACAGTATTTATAGGCAGATATGACTAAGTTTTAGTCATTTATGGTTTAATCCCACTCCTCATTATCCTAGCAACGTGTGTAAGACAGCAGGTTTCAGAAAGGGCAATAAGCATTACTTAAGTGCCCTATTTTGTTCACCCTGAAACAGATGCAGAGAAATTAAGTGATTTTCCCAAATAGCTCAATTCAGAATGTCAATATCAGACATCTCTAGGTTTCAGGTTTCGGAATACTAGAGTGACCTATTGTGCTTCAAAACCCAATCCAACTGGCGCAGTCTTTTGAGAGAAAAAAATGTGAAACATTAGAGTGAAAGGCTAAGTGGGAATGTGGTCCATTCTCTGAAGAAATTCAAGAAAAGGCAAGGAACTTCATTATTTTATGATGGAGTCCTCCTTAGGGACAAAGGATGATATTTCATAACCTTTCAAGGGCACTTACTTTCTGAGTAATTCTATAAAATGGAAGACTTTGTCTTTAAGTACAGTTTGAATTTTTTTTTTTTAAATGTTTGTATTTATTTTTGAGACAGAGAGAGACAAAGCATGAACGGGGGAGGGTCAGAGAGAGGGAGACACAGAATCTGAAGCAGGCTGCAGGCTCTAAGCTGTCAGCACAGAGCCTGATGTGGGGCTCGAAATCACCAACTGTGAGATCATGACCTGAGCCGAAGTCGGGCGCTTAACCGACTGAGCCACCCAGGCTCCCCTAAGTAGAGTTTAAATTAGTGATACTCGATCTCAACATCTTTTTCCTTAATCTCTCTGGTAGCTGTAAAAGGGAAATATTAAGTAATTTGGGTTTGTTGTATGGAACTTGGGGAAGAGCCAGAACTATTCCGTTTACCATTAAGGTTAAGATTATAAGGAGCTCTTCTGAAAATATAAGATACTTTAAAGAAGGGAGACGAGCTAACAAAGAATTTAGTACGTAGCAAAATGATACAGAACATCATAAATACAAAGACTTCTCAATTTGTCAGCTGCAGTGCTTGGTAGGACATACTGTGAACATTCTCTTGTACCTCACAGCTAGTTATTACTTCTGCTTGATATCAATTTCTGTGGAAACAATAGATTTCTCCACATGTGTGGAATTGTGTTTGTTTTTACACTAGCTGCAAAATTATCATGTATAACCCCTAGAACCTTGCCCTTCTACTTGGAACTGTATTCATCTGCTTTTTTTTCTTTTTTCTTTTTTTTTGCCTCTGAAAGACTTAAAACTTAAAACCCTTCCCCCAAACGTCCTTTGACTCCAAAGCTTTATATAAAGAACAACAAGAACAAGTCTTACTTCTTCCCATTCAGAAGTGAAGGATGGTGTTCTTTCAGAATTCCCTTTAGAAGTATGTTCAGCAGGTGAAGATTCACTCCAGTTAACTCTTGGTGTTTTCTCATTTGAAGGGTATGCAATGAGATCAGAATCCGATTTAGAGACATTTTTTGATAAATGCATGTCAATCAGGGCTTTTGGCAATGATCTTATTCTCCCCAGGGTACAGGCTCTTTCCACAAATCCTCCCGTGTTCACAATCCACTGGTCTCCATTCCGGGATCCACTTCTAGTTGTTCTGGCACCAACAATAGTATGGTTTTCAAGTTGGTTGCTTTTTTTGTGAAAAATTGTTCTACTGACCACTTTGGGTTTAATTTTCTTTACCAAAGGTTCTGAGTTATTTGCTATTGGAGACTTCTTGAAAGGCAAAGGACTGTTTGCTGAACTGACTTCATCTTGTCCTTCTTCACGTTCATCTCTTTTCCCATAGAGATGAAATGGATTTTCAGGGGACTCGCAGGCTGGAGAGGATCCATGGAGAAGGCCTGCAAATTGCCCAGGATCATATTCTTTTGGAGGATTGCTATCCTCCTGTTGAGAAGGGTCATCTGCAAAAGAGAAGGGCATCAGGATGGCTGTTTATAAAGACTCCAAAAACCCTGATACAATAGCAGTGCCTTTTAAATTTGTGCAATATCCAGACATTTAATTTGCTGCTACACAATGATATCCTCACCCTATGAAACACCCACGACCCCATAGTACCAAGTATAAAGTGAATTCGTGTGTGTGTGTGTGTGTGTGTGTGTGTGTGTGTGTGTGAACCAGATATTCCTGACATACCTTTGGATGTATTTCAAAGATATGAATTGAGTATTAATTGAGTAATTGCATACTGTTCTTCCTTGTCCCCAGAGCATATATTTTATATTGAATACTAAAGCTGGGTTTTCTTAATTTGAAAAAATTCCCGTGTCTAAACCCTCATAATAAACGAATCATTGTGCAGTAGGAGGACATCAGGCAGGTAAATCAAGATCATACATAATGATATCCCTTTGCCCTTCTCCCAGAAAATAAATTCAGAAACAAAATCTTGAAAAGAAACATAATTAGAAGTTATTTAAAGTAAATAAAACTAATAGTATCACTTTAAGTATAATATTAAGAATAATTCTATAAATTATAATTTATACAAAAAGGATTTGTTCAGGCTTAACATAAGCAAACAACGTAATCCATAATATCACTAAAAAGCCAGACGCTTTTAAAATAAACTGATGTTGAGTTATTAATACAAAGCCATCTTTTTCTTTCTTCTCTGAAATAGCATCAGTTATTTTTTAATTTCTTCAGATCTTTGAAAATGTAATGCAGAAAAGAAAAAAGAAGAATTTATTGCTTTGTAAGTTTTTAAAGATAAAACATAAATGTTCTCTGAGACTTAAAATATACCATGCTTTTTTATGACCTAATTTGTCTTTTAAAGATATCGTGTGTAAAACCCTGGCCAAATAACTTAGCAAAGGAAGTCAATATACCTTTTTGATTGGTCATTTTAATTCATATAGCTAAATATGTACCACAATCAAAAGTTAAATTACCTGATAAGCCTATAACCCAGTCTTGTGAAAGAGTCAAAAATAGCCAATATGGTAGATAATAACAACAAATCCCAAGCTGACTTGCTGACTTACACTTTAAAGAAGTTGGTTAGTATTATAAACCCCAAACACCAAAGTTTTCATAAATTAATAAGTAACATTTAACAGGTATGTGCTATTTACTAGGCACTGACTTAGGGATTATATTTACAAGATCTCATTTGATCTGTGAAACAATTCTGTGAAATGATTAATAATAATCATGAGTATCTGATAGAGATACAACCAGAATATTGCATTTATATATTTAAACAAATTGGCAACCATAATTAAGTCTCAATAGATATTTGCCCAGAGGATGCCTCATACAAATCAACTTTATGGTAGCTTGGCCCCAAGTCCCTATACTGTTCTATACCTACGATCTGATGAAGCAGGTTTGCTCCTGGCCTTGAATATCCCTGGACCTAATCCTCTTTCCTGCTGGGCTTTTCCAAGCAGACCACGTCCCCCTGCTCCAACCTATCACAACGATATCTTGAGATGGAAGAGAGGAATGCTAGGAAGAGAGGTCCAAGAGATAACAGTCTAAAGGAGGAATACTCTGTGCCCACCCAATGCTATAATACTCACTCTGTCTTCCCACAAAAACTGCATCCCTTTCCAGTGTAACAACACTATACCCTTGATAACTCCTGTCCTTCCCTCACGACTGAGACCCTTCCTGAGGTAGAACAGTGAATGGAGAGTGAGTTAAGGCACCTCTGAGCTCTCTCTAAGGGCTAGAGTTTATGGCCTATTATATCCATTTTTTGGAAGTAAAAATGAACACTTAGGCAACTTAAGTTCCTGAAGTTTCTAGCTAGTAAACAGTTAAGCTGAGATTCAAACTAAGATCTAGCAGATTCCCATATCCAATGGCCTGGAAAATAAATTACCATTCAGATAAAAGAACAATCTACATTTCAAAGACAAGCAAGTAAACCCTTTGTGGGAGGGGACTTGTTTTCTTCTGTTTATGACTGTTCCTGGAATTTGGATAAGTGGACTAAAAAAGGTTTTTTTCACCACCATGAAGCAAGATAATACCAAGAGGAAATAAAACTTGGCATTCTGTTCCAATGTATTTTCTTTTTCTTCCTACGCTACTTGGATCCATAGTCCTTTACAACATAACAGGTTGGTTTGGATGACAGTAATGGGTAAACAATGTGAAAGGAAGGAGGAATTCAGAAATAAGGAAGTTTAGAATTTAATTTGAAACTTGCTGAAGAAGGCTAAAGGGTGTGATTATGAAAAGAAAATTGAAAATAATCAGCCTATTGTGGGAAAAAAGGTTCTTTAAATCTCAGTCAAGAGGTTTTTGACCATATTCATGATAAATAAGAGTTTTAGGGGCATAATATTATTTAAAGTTTTCTGTGAATATTATTATTAGGTTATCATCCCCTCTCTGGTTTCACCAAAATGACGATAATACAACCCCAAAATGCTTTATACTGTCCAAGTCCTCTAGTGATAAGCAGTGACTTTCCTAAGTAAAAGAAAATTTAGTTATTAGCATATAAGCTTTGTATTTTGAATAATAGTTCTTAGCATCATGATAGTTGGTAACATCTTTGCTAAGAGTTGTCAAAAGGCAACTTGCTTATTTCAGTGGCCAAACTCTAAGGATTACTCAAATCAAAGAGAATGAGAAGTTGACATAAAACCTCATGAAATGCGTATTTGGTAGACTGATGGCACGGCCCAAATCTGCAATGGCTCCCAAAGCCACACCTTACACTGTATCCTTTCCTCCCACCTGACTCTGGGTAGGGACACATACCTTGCTTTGGCCAATGGAGCAATTGTACATATAATATAAGCAGAGACTTGAAAAGCACTTGTGCATTAGGGCTTGTTCTCTTGCTGCTCTTGCAAACTTGCTGCCATGTGAATAAGCCCAGACTTGTCTGATGGATGATGAAATACATTACTCAGCTATTTGAAATTGTAGGTTTTATTATTTTCCAAGTTTGATGAGGCTAACAGATCAGGAGACAATTGCCATTGAAAAGATAAATTGTTATAGATCCCAAGAGGAGGAGGACAGGGGAAACACCAGGGTTGGTTAGGAGGCAGAATGAGCTGGGGAAAAGGTAAGCAAGAGCCTTTATTGTGATTTCTATATGAAGGAGTGGGAGAAACAGGGTAAACAGGTTTAGGAGTGGCTAGTTTGAATCATTTCAGCAGCTTCTAGAGCATAAGAACTGTCCCTAGTCATCTGGTCCTGGTGTGAAAAGTGCCCCAGAGCATGAGAGCCTAATAAAGATAGTGGGGGGTGGGGATATGGCTGTGGATTGTTTGGTTTGCATATGAAGGCCATGTTGACTATCTCTAAGATTTAGCTAAACTTGGGAAGGGCAGTTCCTCCAGGGTCAGAAAGGTCCCAAGATGTCAAAGAATCAAAAACAAAAACAAAACAAAACAAAACACACCCAAAATAAAAAGGCATGGTTAATACACCAGCCATTTCTGTCATCTTAGACAACAGTAAGCCTACTTCCAGACATTTGAGTGAGGTCATCTATGACTAACCAATCTTAGGCCAGTATGCCTATTGACCCAGCCAAGATTAGCTGAGGCTGCCCAGATCAGAAGAAAATACCCACTAGAATCATGAACTAAATAAATGGCTGTTAGTTTAAGCCATTAAGTTTTGGAGTGGTTTGATATTCAATGATAGATAAATGATTCAGCCTTTGAAAGAAGATTAATTCTTCTTTCAAAGAAGAATTAATACGCTATTCACAATACATTCTGACAATGCAGTGTTTATATTTTCATATCTGCAAAGATAGTAATTGTGTACACCTATAAGTGTTGTGAAGACTTATTAAAATAGTAGAAGTATGCCAATGGCATAGAACACATTAAATGTATGCTTATGTTATTTCAACAATTTTTAATCTAAAGGATTTCATTTTTACAAATAAATGTAGTAGTAGTGATTATATTAAACACTCAGTAAAGATTGTTATTTTGACATGGCAAATATATGGGATTTACTTCTTTGTTTATGCTTGTGTATTTTTAAAATATACTTTGGAGAGGATTTTTGCATTTTCTTACTATTTATTTAGATGTAATTGAGGCAGAGTATATAGATTAAACTGTTTTCATAACTTGTCCTATTTAATTTCACACTTCTCTGTTGATAAGTGTATATTTCATGCCAAGGTACAGAACTAAATATGTGTGAATTTCAATCTGATAGTTACTCAAAGCATCATTAGCATTTCAAAGAAATGTCAGAAAAAGTATCAAATAGTAACTAGTTCAATTTCTTTTTACCCATTTTTGCCCCTGATCTTTATCACCCATATAAATACCTGAATAGCAATAAAATCCCAAATTTCATGTTAAGATAAAAACAAATAATGGAAAATGAGTGATTTTTTTCTTATATTATAAATCATAACTTTTGTCTATTGGGTCATTTTATTCCTCTTTAGAATATAAAAAATTTCTCCATTTCCAGGGATTTGAGCGCTAATATTAATAGAAAATCTGTGATGTTGGTTGTTATTTTTCCTCTCTCATTTGTGACTTATTTATTTGGGTCCTTTCTCTTTTCTTTTTGATAAATTTGACTGGAGGTTTATCAATTTAATTAATTTTTTCAAAGAACCAGCTCCTGGTTTCATCGATCTATTATTTGTTTAGTTTCCATACCAGTTATTTCTGTTGTAATATTTATTATTTCCTTCCTTCTGCTGGCTTTAGGCTTCATTTGTTGTTCTCCTTTAGATATAAGGGTAGGTTGTTTATTTGAGATTTTACTTGCTTCTTGAGGTAGGCCTGTATTGCTATATACTCCCCTCTCAAAACTGTTTTTGCTGCATTCCACAGGATTTGGGCCATTGTGTTTTAATTTTCATTTGTTTCCATGTATTTGTTTTTATTTCTTCTTTGATTTCCTGGTTGACCCATTCATTGTTTAGTAGGATATTGTTTAATCC